AATGAATGTCAATACATAATCATCAATAATTTGTTACATCATATATATTACTTATGATAATCAAACAAGCCACCCCAACTATACATTAATTGGGTGAGTAAACTTCTGGTTTACTGTAACAAGTTTCAAGTAGAACTCTATCTAACATCAACTCACACTTGTATTTCAACAGTCTCCCCCTCAAGTGAGTCATAAAAACATGTTTTCCTTATTCATGTATTTCAAAAACAGTGACTAGCATATAATAGGCTAATAACTTCTATCATTTGGAAGTCCAAGTACTTTCTAGTTCATATATAATTATGGATTTTAATTCGATTAGGCTATTACTCTTCCGACTCTTTCGAAACCGAAGTTCTAATGTAGATCAATGGATCATTTTTGTTTTTACCATTAATTCTTTATCTGCCCATAAAGAAAAATATGTATTAGTTCTTCAGGAACTATATTCATATTTTTACACATAATTCTTCAGGAACTAAGTAATTTAAGAAGAATAAGGAGACAAATTCATCTTAATAATATCGTAATACATAATAATAAATAGTTATAAGTATCATAAGTTTAACTTGTAATATATATAGAATTTACACATACTGCAAAGATGATTTTGTCTAACCAATCGAAATTAATATCAACTATAAATTTTCTCATAAAGTTAAATAAATTTCCATTTTCTCAATTCAAATGTGACATAAATATATGATTTTTTCTCTCAAATATCACAGTAAAAACCGATTTAATTGTAGATATACAATTTTCTTTTATACTTTTTCAAAATGTATGAACTTAAAGAATTAGATAATGTTTGAATTAATCCAATAATCATAATTTTTTTAAACTATAATTATCATTTGCACATACTTAATTTATTCTCATAAACAAACTCATATAATTAAAAAGAACACAAATATAGAATATCTTTTAAAATAAACTTTCTGAAAATAAAGTGTAAAATTGAACTTATTGTCAAAACTTATTAACATTAATATATATTATTTATTTAATTTGTAATACTCAAAATATATCTTTTGAAAGATTACTTACACATTGTATGAATACTTAGCTTTTCTTTCTCAACTAATTTCTTGTTTAGTTAAATTCAAAACAATTTCAAATGCTCACAATAAAATTTATTGTCAATAAATCACAATAAATCATTCAAACTAAGATCATACAAATAGCATATAAATAAACAAAATATGAATAATATATCATCTCTTTAATTTGCACACAAATAGCACAATAAAGTACCAATATCATAATATGGCCATTTTTTTTGTGTGGCTATTCTGTTGATATGAAAAATAAATTATATTCACAATTCATATTCATAAATATGCAAGTAAATTGGCACAATAAATTAACATTTCAAAGTGACCAATAACTACTCTTAATGTTTATCAATATCTTAATATCAAATACTTATAATAATATATTTCTACCAATCAATCACAAGAAATTTAAAATAATATTATATAACCTTTTGGATATAGCCTCCTGGGCTAATGATTATATTTTTCAACTTTGAACATATTTCTCTATAAGACATTACCTTGGGTATTATAACTACATTTTCATACTTTTCATAATATCTCTTGATCTTTTGATTTTATAACCAATTTTAACATTTACTTTCAATAAATTGGTACATATATTTGTCTATATGACTTCTGGTCATATTATGATATTTACTCATAATTGTTTTTGACTATAGAGATATCAATATCTCTTCAATTATGGTTTAATAGCTAAAACCAAATATTATTGCCCTTTAATTATTAATTCCAACGGTACAATGTGGGCATGCTCTTTATCACTCTCATAGACATGTTCCTTACTTTCAGTAGCACATAATCAATTTATTCAAATATTAGTCTTTAGGACTATAGTAAAAATCTTTCAAATAAAGCTCTTTTATGCCATTTGATGTTTGAACTATTAGCCTTCAGGGCTTTGATACTTGTCACAATGTAGCCTTTAGGGCTTCAATACTTGTCACCATGTAAGTTTCAGGGCTTTGATATTTGTCACTATCAAATCGTCAAAGTGTTATAGATTTTTCTTGTCATTCCATTTAAAAGCATCCATATTGTTGTTTCACAAAAGAACAATTGCAAAAGTGATATGACTTTTGGTCATCTAATCACATATGGCTTCTAGCCATTTAAGAAAATGAAATTAAATAATATTGTAATGAAATAAATTAAATAAATTAAAATTCATAATCAAATATAAATAACATTATATAATCACATATATATAATACTGCGATAGATATAAAATGACATAATATAAACCAAACAGATATACGTAAACAAACAATAGAACAAGAAGTATGGAAAAATAAATAAAATAAATAACACAATATCACAATGGGGAGATAATAAAATTAAAATGTATAAAAAGAATAAATTAATAAATAACATAAAAGAACAACATAATATATAGCAAATATATAAAAAATTAAAATTAGATGTGATAATAAGATAAAAAGAATAATTGGGTAAGGAGAAGTTAGTAGAAAATATTATCATATGCTATAAGAATATATTAATTTACAAAAGGCTCATATCTCAAATCTTCAAAGCAAACTCGTGCTGATAACGTGTTATAAAAATGAGAGAGTTAGAGAGTAGAAAGAGGATAGCAAGAGAAGAATTGAGAGAGAAAACAAGGAGTATTTCTCATATACATATATGGGTACAAATGCCTTGTATGTGGCTTCTATTTATAGGCCCCAACCATAAAAGTCTAATCCAAGAGTTACAAAGAAATGAATAAAGGAATAATGACAATAAACATGGAAAACTCCTCTAAAGTCATTCATTGGGGGGTTATGGGTTTAAGATATTCAAAGATCAAGAATCTTATGAAGAATCCTAAGAGTTGGGGTTATGGACATCCACATATATACAATATTTATAACAATTTTCTTATAAGCACAAATATCCTCCTAATAGTAACAATCTTTCCTGAAACATTGTTGAATATTAAATGAAGACACTTCTCGTAGTTTAATGTGTTGCGCGGAATTTTTTTTTTTTACCTCTATACTTAATTTTGGCAAAGCTAAAAGCGGCTACACGGCCCAAGAGAGTTACACCAAATGAATGGCCCAAGTTAGTCAACATGTTGATGTCGTGTGTGAACACAACGCTTCGGCCCAAATTTAGTTATTCTTACTATATATTTCAGCCCATTATTTATATAACCTCGTCACGGGAAATGCAGAAGACTTCAATAGAAGGGAGGCATGCTTTTGTATCCTTGTTATCCCAGCATACCCGTAGACCTTGTAGAATTCCCACAACTTCTGTACGTAACAGGAAATCTGGGTTTTTGAGGCACAAGAAGAGTTGAATTTGAAACCTCAAGTTTACTAAAGACTTGAAGAAACCTGTTTAGTTGTTTATTTTAGGGAATGTTTGGATGAAAACCAAATTATATTTTTAAAAACAATTTTACAGTATATAAAGTAAATATGTAGAGAAGTTTATCCCGATTTATAAAAAATATTTTTAATTTTTTCAATTTACGAAAAAATGCTTTTGGCGATAACCAAACACTCTCTTAATTTAATTAATCATTTGGCTTTTATTTTTGGATGGACTTTGGGGTAAAATGTAGACCCCTCCTTGATTTTTTTTTTCAGTACAAAAATTTGAATTCTAATATATTAGATTTTTCAAAAACACTTATTCACATCAAGATCAAACTTTTCTGACATAGTTTTCTCACATTCAGTAAATTAGGATCAGTGTTTTGAAAGATCTTTCTGCTCTTCCAAACAATTTAGTTTTTATGTATCAAACATGCGTTTCATTGCTCTCAATAATTAGCTGCGTCTTGCCCCAAACGTAGCTGCGTTTAGCCTTTGAGCAAGTTTCATCCCATAACAATATACTACCTCAGGTCCTAAATATAAAAGTTAGTTAACTAATTTGAATAGATTAAGAAAATAAATTAAGTTAATTATTTGTAACAAATATGTGTTATTTTTCTTAAAATATCTTTACTAATTAAGTTCATTCGTTAAAACTACTATTATTAAAAGGATTATTTTAAAAAAAGATAAATAAATATGAGAAACAGAGATATTATATTTAGAATCAAAATAAAAATCAAATAAACTCTGATAATATCATTGAAAGTCAAAAGATTGGAAAATTTCAGTAAAAAAGAAACAAGCTTCAAAGTTTCATCCCATAACAATGTAACATAGGAGGGATAATTTAACGCTTCCTCCCTCACAGACTCGACCTGCCTAAATAGATTTTCGGGTGGCCTATAATCATTGTAATACTGATTTTTTGCATTTCCAAGCTATCCGTCGTCCATCTTCTCTGTTCTGTGATTTTTTATGGGATTTTAACGCCCGTTTAATGCAGAGGAAATCAACTAATGGAGAGGCCACCGTCGTGGACCGCTGCTATTGAGTAGTAAAGTTCTTCTCTAAACCATGAGGGATCATGAAGAAATATCGGATAAGAAGGCTCTTCTATTACATCTTTGATTGATTCTTCGGCATGTTTCCTTCAATTGAGGGGTTTTCTCTCTTCGTTCTGTAATTTCGGTTTCATTTAATAACGATAAAAAGTTAAGAGTACCGAAACATCAGTTCTTAACTGTTGGTCCAACAGTGAGGTTGTCTATGTTAGTAATATTCTAAATGTTTTGCGTGAAGCTACATTTGATGGTGTAGAAAATCCAGTTGATTCTGGCTTTCTGAAAAAGTATTCTTGATTAAGGCTATCAAATTTTGCTTTCCATTGCACTAATTGTCCGTTTCTGTATTATACAACTCCACCACTTTTTCTGTCATTCTTTATTTCCCAAATAGAAATAACCTTTTAGTTCCTTCGTTATAGAAAGTAGGAAGCGATTTTAAAGGCCTTTGATTGCATTCATAAGCTGAATGGAAGGGATCCATTCCGTTCAGTTTTGTGCTGGGGGGGGGGGGGGGGACCTCTTTTACTTGCACTATTTTACTCAAACACTTTCTAATCTCTGGATCTTGGTACAGAGCTCTTGTATCATTCTGACAAGGTAGAGAATTATCAATGAAAACTGATTCTGGTTTGATTGATCAAACACTCATTGATTGTACAAAACATTTTCCTCCAACAATGCCTGATTCTCAGCTTAAGCTTAATTTTATTTCAGCAAGCCAATTCTAATGCATATTTGTCTCACAAGCCATTTTCAGAGACAGAAGCCTAACGCCCCTCCTGTAAGGTGATGCTTGTGTTATTGGAACAAGAATTGATTCCTGCGAGTGATGATGAATCTGTCTCAGAGAAACATCTCTCTGAATACATTCCTGGTCGTCCAGGTTGTGGCAGAAAGACACTTTCACTGTCTAACATCAAAATCACTTGTGACATTGTTGGTCGGTCCTCCGGCTTCTGTTGAACGCAACAAAGTCCCACTTGGATACACCGTAGACCTTCTGATGCCGGAAACTGATTCTCAAGTAATGGATCCATCAGCTCCATTGCCTTCTCTTCAGTCCAAAGCTTCCATGCCTGACATATTTCATCACAGTTTCAGGTGCTGCAATGATACTACGAAATCTTGCCAAGATCAAATATTATATACAGTTGGAAATAAATCATTTTTTCTGGTAAAATGGTTGTTTTGAAGTACTATATTGGTTTAATATTCTACTCACATGGCCAAGGAGATTCAGCTTGTGATCTGGATGGAAAAATCCTTTATTTTTCTTGCCGCTCAACAGCTCTAACAGCAAAACACCAAAGCTGAAGACGTCTGATTTGAATGAGAAGTGTCCATCTATCGCATACTCAGGTGGCATATATCCACTGCATTGATTGCAAAAGGTAATCTGATTTTAGCAATTATCGTATTAAGGGGAAGAATTTGTTTTGAATATTTATGTTAATTTTCTCTGTGCATACTAGGTTCCAACTACTCTATTAGTCTTTGCTTCAGTTTGGTCTCCACCAAATATTCTTGCCATTCCAAAGTCAGAAATTTTGGGATTCATTTCACTATCTAAAAGAACATTGCTGGCTTTCAAATCTCTATGAATTATTTTGAGTCTTGAATCCCTATGAAGATAAAGGATTCCTCTCGCAACTCCAACAATAATATCCAGTCTCTTTTGCCAAGTGAGTGTTGAACGCTTTGTTTCATCTGTTTCAACATATTACGCATGTTAGGCAGTATCTTGGTGATTCAGTAAAACATGTACATTGATATGTAGATGTGAGTGTTGAATATTTTAAGAGGCTAACCAAATAGTAAAGAGTCTAAGCTTCGATTTGGCATGTACTCATAGATCAACATTCTTTCATCTTTATGAATACAGCAACCTAGAAGTTTGACAAGATTTCGATGCTGAAGTAGGGATATCATAGCAACCTCATTCTTGAACTCTTGCAAGCCTTGTCCTGAACTTTCAGAGAGTCTTTTCACAGCTATTTCTTGCCCTGATGCAAGTTTACCCTAATATTTTCCACATTAAAATCCAAGGTATTATCATTGATCAATGTCATGAAGAAAAACAGAGACAATACAGCTCTTTCTAACGAGGGAAATGGGAACACTTGAATGTATTTGATAAACTAGGAACTTGGAATATAGGGACTGTTGAACTATTGTCAGTTATTAATGGACTTTATCATAATACTTCCCGTGAAGAATCTGTAAAAGGTTAGAGTAGTTTTATGTAAAGCGATGTGATAAGAGACCAAGACCAAAAATATATGGTGAAAGTCTGGCTTACCTCCAGAAATAATCTATTCAGTGGAAGATTTTCACATTTTACAAAATATGCATTACCTTGCTAATAAGTCTTTAGTTTCGTGTCATCAATAGAAGTGTTAATTGTTAGATAATTAGTCAAGAGAAGTAGTGATTTACTCTGTATACGGGACCAAATCCACCTTCTCCAATCTTATTGCAGGCTGAGAACTTCTTTGTTGCTGCTTCAATAATGTCAATCTTGAATGATGGGAGTTCACTTCTAGGTCTGTTAAGTATCAGTTGAATATCTGTCTCTATAGCTCCCAAAAAGGGCAAAAAAAAAAAAAAAAAGAAGGAAAAAATGACAAGTGAGTAAAAATAAATGTAATAAATACAAAATTATTGCTCAAAACCTTCTGAAAACACAAATAGTTTACCTCGAATTCTCCATCTCTTAATTATGAACCATGATACCAAGACAACAATTGCTGAGCTTACTGATACAGCTACAATAATTATTATATGTTTATTTCTTTTCGGGACAGCAGCATTTGAACCTGACAGCAATATACATACATTAGAACACGAACATCTAACGCCGAAAAGCCTGGCCCAAGAAAATTGCAGAACTAGAGAATCTGTAACCCTACTCAGGACTATATCATCAAATTTCTTACCTAGTTCTGAAGCTGGAACTCTGATGTAGAGATCTTGTCCATAATATGCAACCTCTCTGATATCAAATAAAACCCCAAACCAAGAAATGCATCCTTTGCCGGTTGTATTGATATCTAGTGTAGCATAAGCAACACAAGAACAGTTCTTCAAGCACTCTGTCTCACACTCCTCAAAACTCAAGCTTGAGTTTGTGTGAAACACAGCAGAATCTGGCAGTTTTACTCCTGTAAGCTTCTTAAATCCCTCTCCATTTCTGCAAGTATGAGAATTCTTCATAACACATCCATCTGACCATTCATTTTTTTGCCAGTCTTGAGGTAACCTAGGCTCAAATCCATCCATACACTTGCAAATTGGCGATTCTCTTATGGTGCAACTTCCATAGGCACCGCAAATGCCATAATCATCACAACGATCTCCTTGAACTGAAAATTCTGGGATCCAACTGGAACGAGGATCACTCCATGAGAAGTGCTGAATCAAACCAGATTGAGTAAGTACAAATCTTGAAGTGACACTGTCCTTAGTTTCATACGTGAAAATCACTTCATCAGAATTAAAAACAAAAACAGGTTTGAAAACTGGGTTGTCCATAAGAGCTGGGTCACCTTTGAGTTGTTGTGCAAACCATGGTCCACTTCTAAAGACCTTCTTCTTTCCTTTAAGAAGAAAAAGCTGAGGAAGGCCGCGTGGGTCCACACTATAACTATACTCTCCAGAAGAAGGATCATCATGGCTTTTCCAAGAGGTTAAGTGTCTGCTGAAGCCGGTTTTGAAGTTCCAACCAAGTCTCATTCCTGGAATGAATGTATCAGATGGATAATCAAAACTCTGCCATCTGTAACTCACAGAGCTTTCATCCTCAAGGTCTCTCAAGACTAAATTTCCAGAATCTAGAAGCTGAGCTAATGGTTTCCTTGGCGATCTGGATGAGTTTGCAGACCATATGATACTTCCTGTATGACTGAGAATGACAAGCTTACCATCATTGCTGAATGTTAAAGTGCCACTAGAATTCACAAGTGGACTGTCCCTGTTTGCAACCCAAATAACAGTAGGCTTTGGGATATACTTGTACCATATTCCCAGATATTTCAAACTGGAATTGCCAGGACTGAAGAATCCAAGTTCAAATTTTTCATCAGGAGAAACTAGTGTCTGGCTATCAGTGATGGATTGCGCTGAAGTTATGGAATCCTTTGCTTTCAAAACTGTTGGAAACAAGGATATCAGAGAGAAACAAGTGGCAAGAAAGAAGAGGGTGAAGGAGAACTTTGTTTCTTCCATGAGAAAGTGGCGAGAAAGAAGAGGGTGAAAAGGGACTTCGTCTCCTCCATGTGAATCTTGAACCTTCATTCTGCTTCTTAAAAGGAAAAACTCATCTTTTCTACTGTTTCTTTTCAAAAAGCTTTATTGGACGGCTCCATGCATTTTAATGGACTCGTTAAGATCGAGGAGAAAAAAGGTCTTCAGTTGGAGCAGGTATAACTCGAGGGCCCTGTCTACTTTTTGATAGACACATGGAATGGACTAAAACACCAATGTTACGAGAGGGAAAAATCAAAGGAATATGTGAGTCACAATAAATATGAAACTTTAGCATAACATGGTAATAAAGTTGTGATTAGTTCTGTTAAATTAAATTGGACTCCGTTGATGCATTTATGCACTCTTGCATGCATCTTGGACATAGTTTAAGACTTCTAGGTTACAAGAACCGGTAAATATTATAATTTGGCAATTTGCCCGTAATTCAAGGAAATAAAATATGTTCTTTTTCTTAGCCCATTTAATGCACTTGAAACATTAGTAATTTACAGTTACTTCAGTGCAGAATAACCTTAAAACTACTGTCATATCCGCATCTAACGCGTAAGTTAGGCCTATAGGCCATCAAGACCAATAAAACCCTTCTTTTCTGTTGACAAGATGTTGGTGAGAAAGACTAGGAAATCGAAAGCGCTCACACGCACAGAAGGAGCAAAAAATGAATCAAACTTTGAAATTTCTTACCACTACCATTTTTTTATTTCATGCTTTACAGTTGTTTAATCATTCTACACAACTGTAAATATCATGATATTTTAATGTCTTTTTTTTTTCTGGTGATATGATATTTTAATGTCTTTCATCACGTGAAGATTTCAACAGCGGATGACCACTCGTTAATCAGTGCTATGCTGGAAGATGTTGATTGCACCATAAGGCTTTTACCTAACGAAAACTTGAACCTATTGCTCTGCTCAAATTCAAATGTTTTGAGACTCGATATCAAATTTCAAATTCTCATATTTGATTACCAATCATCTGAGTAGTGCCGACACAAAATATCTTGGCTCTTCTGATCTTTAATAGGCACAACACTGTTTGGCTAACCAAAGAAAAATACTCTTCCGGGGGGGGTGATTATGTTGGCACAGCTACTCACCGATCTCAAACCATTCTTTTTGTTTGTTTTTTTTTGTTGCCATTATTTCTATTGTTAACTAGACAATTTTATTTTTTATTTCAGAAATTTAAGAAACGAATTACAAAGGTTTATGAATAGTATGTCTTGTTATATCTTGAGTGATGATATTGATATGATGCCGTCAAGACTTAGTGGACTTTAGTGAATAAATTGTACCCTGCACTGATCAATGAAATCAGAGTATTCCTTTCGATCGCTCTGCTCACATGAATATATCACTGTGTTAGAGAAGATTCGCTTTTACTCTACTGCTCACAGTACCTTTTTTTTTTTTTTTAACTTTTCTTTCGGCCCAGAAATCACCAAGTACATTGAGAATAACCGTTTACATAAATTTTCACGAACTATCATTCCTGCATGAACAAGGGTGAGATCCATATGCATGGTTGTATCCCATATTGAGCATTTTTCTCTTTTCTTCTCTTTCTTGAAGTTTGGTAGAAAACCATGAACCTATTGCTTGTCCGAAATCACCGGAGTAACATAGAAATAAAATCAGTTCATATTAGCCCTTCAAAGACATATCAGAGCATTTCAAATGGGAATTCTCGTTTGTCTTTGTTGAGTGAGGAAATGCATATCCAATAACTTACCAACTCACACTATTTGGACAGGAATACTCTGAAATCTATTGAAAAGTTTCTTATCACCAATGCCACTGCCAAATGAAATAAATCTAGCCTAAGAAAAGATGTTGGATGAGGGTTAAAAAAAAAACGGAGCAGTGTACTCTGTCCAAATGTTCTATGAACCAAGGTCTATATGGTAGAAGAACTATTAACTAAAAAGAAAAGATTTGATGTGATAACTTTTTATGATTGGAACGCTGATTACAATGAAAGACAGGTTTGTGAACGAAGTGTAAACACCCTATTTTGTCCGGACCTACAGAAACAATAATAAATCTAATAAATAAGAAATCCTAATAATAAAAGAAATATCTTTCTTGATTCTTTTTTAGGGGCCAAGTTTAAAAATCTATCCAAAAAAGAAAAATCAAACAAGAATATTTTTCTCACAATAAATAGTAATAAAGCAAAAGGTAAAATTAAATGCTGATTGGTCTCTAATTTAGAAAATATGAGGTGAACACATCAAAGAGTGAAATAAAAAAAATCAGAAAATAAAAATAAAAATAAAAATTTCTCACTTAAGTTGATTGGCTTCTCAATTTAGAAACATATTTTGGAGTCATAATAGTAAAAAAACAAAAATAAAAATAAAAAAAATCACAATTTAATGATAATTTGGTACTTAAATAGGAAGTTATATTATGAGTCATAATGGAACAAAATTAAAAAAGAAAATTAAAGAAAAATTGGAAAACCTTAGGTGGAACCTATAAATAAGAGAGTAAAGGTTAGAGGAAGAAGACACTCAAAAAGGCAAGGGAGAAAGCTTTTTTCATGACAATGTGTTGGGACAGGGAAAGCAAGATGAGGCCTAACTAGAGTAAAGTCTGTTGTTTATCTTTTTCTTTCTTCTACCTAAGAAAAGCTTATTGTAACATCTCATACAATTATATCCATATATCTGATAAAATACTTCATTTAAAAATTTATACGTTGCTAATACTCTAAACAAGTCATAATTTCAGAATATTTCTGACATAATAACAAAATAAACTATTAAAGTCTTATAGTCATGGCAATTAAAAATATAATATAGCATGTGCTCGAGGAACACAAAAGCCTTTATGGCTCACTCTATTGGTGCCTTTCCTTGATTCTTACTAGATCCTTCGCCTAAAAAAAAAATGTTAAGATAGGGGTTGAGATCAAACGTCAGTAACTACTAAAATTCTAACCTATACAAGCAGGCCATATATGATAAACAAAAAAAATCCGTTTATATGTGCATATACATATGAAAATCACAGATTTGGTACATTTAACTCAATTTCATTTTTGATTCAGCAATATACAAATATCATTTTTCTAATATATCAAAAAATAATGCAATATGCTGCCTCCCTTATATCATTGTCCACTCTTATACCACTGATTGGAGCTATAGGCTAACACATAGTCCGATAAGAGCTAATCCATTTTACTGAATTATTCTAAGCTCACTGATACTAGAGATATATTCGGCCAAAGATATAGAGCTCAAGCCCGGACTATAGCTCCCTCCTTTGGAAATAAACATAAGGAGATGTCACATGTCTCACAGCTCCAATGAATTCCCGGCCAAAAGAAAACATGGACGAAGGAGCCCTAACAAGTGCCATCCACTATGCACCGAGTGATGGCATACCACGTGGTAATTTATATCCATAAAATTCTCCTTCTATCCTTAACCCAACAATGCATATGTCAGATGCAAATAATATTACATCATAAATACGTCCTCAACTATATTATTAGAAATAAGAAAATAATAAAATTTTTGTACTATTGAACAGCAACTCCTGCTAATCCCATGGATATCAACATATTTAAATATTGATCATAATTAATAGCAATAAGTCTTAACAAAATCAAGTGACATATTAAAACATTTATTTGAAAAATCATAATATTATATTTCAGTAATATAAAAATTAGTAAATCCATAATATAATCATACACAATTCACATGTACAAGAAAGAATTTTTAGAGTTACTTGGTACTCTTTAGCTTATAAATATTCACACAAAGATTACTCCAAAATTCTCAAGAGCCTCCAAAATTACACATAAATATTTATTAATATAAAATTTAAAGCTACTGCAAAACTACTCTAAAATTTTAAGATTACCGTCTAAACTAAAATTACATAAATATATTAGCTCTCCCAAAATTTGCTATTTATAATGATATAATATTATTTTGACAATAAAATTTTCATATAAAACTTTAAATTTAATAACTTAATTAAATATATCTTTATTACCCAATATATAAATATTTTATATTAAAATTCTCAATTATTTATTATAATCTCATTTAACAATTTTTTTTCAAACCAAACAACTTCTTTAAATTATAAACAAACTAGAACTTATCTAATTTCACAAAATTCTCAATCTACAATTTTTTTAAACCTTCAAAAATTATTTTAAAGATATATCTTTAACTTATTCAATATTTAAGCCAATTAAATCTTCAATAATATATTAAATAACTCAAATAAATTATTTAACTTAAATTTAATCGGTAAAAACATATTATATGTCTAAATAACAAATTTTTTAACTAAAATCTCAATTTAAAATTCTCAAAACGGTCATTGAGTAAATATAAACTGATTAAAATTTATTAATAATGTATCTTTAAATTTTTACAGTCACACATTGTTAAAATTCCATATTTATTCTATACTGAAACAGTAAAATTTTCTCTAAATATTATAATGATACTAATAATATAAAGCTATAAATATATAGAAAATATTTATAAAGAAAAATTTGACCCAAAAAAGTAGTTTTGTGTACGTAAATGATTCCTAAAATTATCAGGTATTCTACAACTTAGCTCTCTCTCTCTCTCTCCTCTCTGCTTCTCACTCTCTCTTCCTTTTCCGTCTCGCCTCCCCCTCTTTTATTCTATTTCCTCTCAACTTCCAACTACCCTATCGCTCTTTTTTTTTTTTTTCTGCTTCAATTATGCTTGCCCCCATTTTTCTTTGTTCTTTATGAATTGCCTAGCCTTTCCATCGAATATGGTGGAAAGCTAGGTATTTTTTATATATAATATAATAATATTATATTATTTTAATTGATTGATTTTTTTTTAAAAAATCAGTATGTTACACTTATACTCTTGTGATTATTATCACATTTGTGTGCTTGAACAATGATGGCTAGAGGGTTGAATCAAGTATGATTTCAGTTGAATCTCACTACTCCCTTTCTCTTGGATTTATTTGAAGTATGCTCTTATCTATTATCCTCCATATGCACTCATTTTGATATCTACTTTCTTCTTTCTTTATTTTTATTTATTTTATTTTTGTCCATGTCATTTTGCTAATATATGTATATAGTTTTTTCTATTATTGGCTTATTATATAATGCATTCCTTTTTCTATTATTATTAATAAGTGGAGCATCAAGTATGAATTTTCATTCCTCTCTATTATGTTTAACTTGAGTTTTATGGTGAATTACTTTTGGCTGTTCTTTCTTTTTGTTTAAGATCTATACCGTGTAAGGTTTTCAGAACCTCCGTAGGTATCTAGATTTATGGGTAAACTGTGTAAGACTATGGGAGTCTCTGCAGGAATACTAATATGGTTGTGCAAATTTTTCTTCTTGAAATAAAAAGAAAGAAAATAATTTTGACCCCATGTTTATAAATAAATAATAAAATAAAAAGTCTTTTTTAAAGAGCCTCTGCAAGCTCGAACAATTATTCTCCCGTGTGAGGTTATAAGAATCTTTACAGGGAGGGTAATCCAAAATTGCTTTTGAAAAAATATTTTCTAAATAAAAACACAAAAATTGTTTTTCACATGTTAAGAAATACCAACGCACAAAATTTTTTTTAATTAAATAAATATTTTCTAAAAGATACCAACCAAGTAAGATGCATTTTTATCTCTACACTATGTGGGCTTTGATTTTTCTAAAGGGTATGTAGGCCTTAAGTTTTTATTCTAGGTTAAGTCTAGCTTCATAAATAATTTATTTTTTTCCTTTTGTTAAATAAAAAAAATTTCTTTGTTTCTATCTTTTTTTTAGGGTAATTAAAATATAATAAAAAAGCCATATTAATTTTGAGTAGTTGACTTAGGATAACCATTCTCTCGAATGGGTGTTGCGGGGTACCTAACACCTTCTCTATACACAATTGACTCTCGAATCTTATCTGGTTTTCATAGATCATGTTTTTTAGGTTTTCAAAATTAACCTTTTAAAATTTTAATGGTGACTCCTCTTTCTTTTCTTTTTACGGGATGACCAGAATTCGGGCCCGACACGAAGGATCCATATTGGAATTATTGGACCTATTTTCATTCAGGGGCACCCCATCTAAATTTGATTCAATTAGCATTCAGAAAAGTATGTAAAACTCAAAATTGTGTAATTGGTCTGGCATTGGTTTATTGTGAAACGCAAATGTGTTGGGGGAAAAAAAAAAAGAAGAGTGAAACGCAAGTGTGTGAGAACTTGACATCTGTAAGTTTCAGGATCCCTTGCTCAAGATTTACAAGATAAAATAAGGGCAGAACGTTTGAGAAGATGATATTCAACGAATATGGAGATGAAGTGTAAAAGAATAAGTTTGCTCTGCCTCTAATCTGATCCACCCATGTTGAATTCAAAGCGGTTTTGTTAGACTTTGTAATAAAAAAACTAAACCTTCCCCTTTGGTATTGGACTTAAAAGATGAAAAATCCTTTCAAGAGATCCCAATTTCTAGTTAGTCTTCCGGGGACTGTGAGCCTGTGACATGACACCTCAATAGTCAATTGCCTTGAAGTTTTCATACCCCGGCAAGAAACATCTAGCAGCCCTCGCAAAGCCGTTTCTGCTGAATGATAGATTGTACAAACTTATCCACTTATTCATATTATATGTAGACAGACACGCAAAATACTGAGTGTAACAATTGTTTCCTTTCTTGCTTTCATATCTTAATAAAAAGCCAACTTTTTAATCATCACTGGTTGCAGAATCGATTTTTGTGGCTGCACTGGTAGTTCTGGGTGTAGTAGTGGGTGGGCAAGAGGCAGAGCCTGCGATTACCTCGCTGAACCGAAATCTAGCATGGGACAAGTCATTAGATAATGAAGATAGCAAATGGGATGGTTATTTTTTCTGTTATAATCCATCACTGTGTCTTGTTTTGTGCTGCTTCTGACATCATAACCAGTGACAATCCCGTAAGCGATGGTGAGCTTCTGATTTCTAAAGAAAACAAGTTTGCTCTTGGGTTCTTCACTCCTGGCAAATCAAACTATCGATATATAGGAATTTGGTACTACAATTTGCCAGAGAAAACTGTTGTTTGGGTGGCTAACAGAGATGATCCCTTGCATGACACCTCTGGAGTTCTGTCCATCAACTCAAATGGAAATCTAATTCTCCATCACAACTACTCTGACTTCCCCATTTGGTCTGCGAATGTTTCTATCACTGTTCCACATGCAACAATTATGGCTCAGCTCACAGATTTAGGTAATCTTGTTTTGATTCAAAATCACTCCAAAACTGTTATCTGGCAGAGCTTTGATCATCACACTGATACCTTACTTCCGTATGCCAAATTGGGAGTCAACAAAAAAACTGGTCAGAACTGGTTCTTGCAGGCGTGGAAGACAGATGATGACCCTGGAACTGGAAGCTTCTCTGTTAGGTTCAATACTAGTGGGAAAGCTCAGATGTTTGCATACAAGAGGAATAACCCAGTGTGGCGAGCAGGATCCTACAATGGCGAAATATTTGTGGGTATCCCATTTATCAAACGGGCTACAGCCACTGATTATGGCATTAATGTCACTGACAATGATAATGAGGTTGGATTTCTATTTTACGCTTTTGACAAGAAAACCATCATAAGGGTGGTTGCTCTTCAGTCTGGATTCTTTCAAACATTGCTATGGGATTATGATAAGCAACAATGGAATCGATTTTGGTCTGCTCCAGAAGTAGATTGTGACAACTATGGATCATGCGGTACCAACAGCAACTGTGACCCTCTTAACTATGCAAATTTCAAGTGTTCTTGCCTACCTGGGTTTGAACCTGGAAATACAACAAATTGGTATCAACATGGCGATGCAACAGAGGGTTGTGTGAGGAAGAAAGGGCCATCCTTATGTGGGAATGGAGAGGGCTTTGTTAGAGTAGAAAGCGTTAAAATTCCTGACACATCTGTGGCAAATGCTAATATGGAGATGAGTTTGGAAGAATGTGAACAAGAGTGCTTGAGGAACTGTTCTTGTAATGCCTACGCAGCTGCTGATGTGAGAAATGGTGGAAGTGGATGCTTGACATGGTATGGTACTTTGATGGACACGCAGATCTTAAGTCAAGAAGGCCATGGTTTATTTGTTCGTGTTGATGCTGTTGAACTCGGTAATTGCAATCCTTTTCTTTATTTTTCTTCAAGGAACATTTTCTTTTTCTTTGTCTTTAAGACTTCTTTCTTCCTACTTTTATCAGCAAAATATGCTAGGAAGTCAAAAAGAGCACTTGCCAAGTCGGCGATAGTGGGTATTGCAACAGCTTGTGTCACGTTGATTACTCTTATTGCCTTGTTTGTCTACTGCTTTTGGAACAGAAAAAGAAAAGGTGCGTATTTCATTTCGCTTCATTTCTTGCTTCCTTAATAGTCTGTACTTTGGTTGTTCTTTCACTCAATATCATTGTCTTCTATTAAAAAAAGAAAAAAACAGAGAGAGAGAAATCTTTGAAACCATGACGATGAAATGAGCCAAAACAACACTAGAACGAAACATCATTTTTTTTGCCAGTTTTGAGGGGATAAGGCTACGTGCATCTCTCCCTCCTGGATCGCACTCGGTGGGAGCCTCGTTGATGTTAGATGTCTAGCTGTCTTATGTTTAGGTGTGAGATGTTGGTTTTCTATGTGATTAGTTGTTTCAGAGTACTAATGCAGATATTATATGTGGATGTACGTAATGCCTTTGGGGATGGATGAAAGTACTACCTTCGATCCTTAATATAAGATCCTGTTTGACTTTTATTTTGGTCCTAAATATAAGACCCCAGTCCACTTTGTCTCTCATATTTATGTTTTTTTTTTTTCAAAATAGTCTTTCTAATAATTATAGTTCTAACCAATATAGTTGATTAGTAAGGATATTTTAGGAAAGACAACACTTATTTATTACAAATAATTAACTTAACTTTTTTCCTTAATTTCCTCAAATTACTCAACTGGGTCTTATAATTAGGACCAGAGGTAGTATTATTTAAATCTCATGGAGATTTTCCCCGGCTTTATTCCATGATAGAGTTAGGTTCGAGCTATATGATACACTATAGAATTCTGCTTTTATTTCTATTTCTGTCTTCTTCTTCCTTCTTTATTTACTGTTAGCTGTGGTTCTACAAAAGTAAAGTTGCATTTGTTAAGGATACATGGAAATTTCTGTGCGCTCAAAACCCAAAAGTTTAATGTCATTCATTAGCTAAAATAACAAAATCGCTAGAGGAGCATGGTGAAAGCAGAGCATAAACAAGCTTATCCTGGCTCAGTGACCTAATCCAATTCTTAAAACATTGAACTTGTTTTTTCCCCCGTTTATTTTTCTCTTCTCTTAATATGACTTGTTTAAATGTCTTAAGCTATTTCACCCTCTTTATTTTTGCTAATTCCAGATGAAATAGCCGAACAAGAATTAAAATTAAATTCCCCTACAGAAGAGGAGGATGGAGAAAATAGAGCACAACCAAGCTTACCATTTTTCAACATCAAAACCATGATGACTGCAACAAACAATTTCTCAGAAGAGAATCAATTAGGGCAAGGTGGATTTGGTTCTGTATACAAGGTATGCAAAATATTTAAAAATTCTCTTGCCAAGCAATTGGTAATGTGAAGTAAGTCTGTGGCAGATTTTCTTGCACAAATTAGTATAATACAAATGCTTTGATATTTCAGGGCATATTAGTTAATGGACAAGAGATAGCAGTCAAAAGATTGTCTCAAGGTTCTGGACAAGGCACGCAAGAGTTCAAGAATGAAATTAGACTAATTGCAAAACTACAACACAGGAATCTTGTGAAACTGCTTGGTTATTGCATTCATAAGGAAGAAAGGATGTTGATCTATGAGTACTTGCCCAACAAAAGCTTGAACTTTTTCCTCTTTGGTATGATTTATTATTCTCCTCCTCTTTCTCTAAACTGATGTTGCTTTTTAATATTTGCATAGCTAAATAAATTAGAGAACTGAAAAAAAAAATTATACCCTTAACTAATCATTTCATCAAATTAGGAGTATACACATGTTTTTTCACAGCATATTTTTCTCAATCTAAGCAAATTCCTAGAGCCAGAACAATTAAATGGTTCAGAGTATTTGTCTTCAGCATGCATCGAAGACATAATTAGCTTTCATGCGTGGCAAAGTATCGAGCCACCTTTTATACTAACTATTTTCACAATGATATATAAGAGTTGTATGTAACTACGGTGTGGTTCTTGGAAGCTAGGTAAGATTAGATGCATAAAAATATCATTTCATTCATAGTCTTTAGTTCCTATTCTCATACTTATATTTATGTCTTATTGATATAACTAGATTAGCTTCATTTTCAAAGTTAAGAAGGACTTATGGTTCTCTGCAGATAGGAATCAAGGAACGATATTAAATTGGGACACACGTTTTCATATTATATTTGGAATTGCTCGAGGTTTGCTTTATCTTCATCAAGATTCAAGGTTAAAAATAATCCATAGAGACCTTAAAGCTAGCAATGTCCTTCTAGATGTTACAATGAATCCAAAAATTTCTGATTTTGGTATGGCTAGAATATTTGAAGAGGATCAAATTCAAGCAAGAACTAGACGAATCGTTGGAACATAGTAAGAACAAGACTCTTGTACATGATCTAAAACAACACCATTCATTGAGTTTCACAAAATCTTATAATATTTTTTTTATTGCAGTGGTTATATGTCTCCAGAATATGCAATGGTAGGGCAATATTCAACAAAGTCCGATGTTTTCAGTTTCGGTATTCTATTGTTAGAGATTATTAGTGGAAAGAGAAATACATATTGTCTCAAAGAACAAGCATCCGCAAATTTGATTGGACAGGTAAGACTTTAAAAAAAAAAAAAACTAGAAGCATGACATTTAAACATTTTCAGTGGCTTTGTTTCCATCTCCTCTGGTATCTGACCTTCAAAGTATTGAAAACTGCGTCGGCGCCTTAATGCCATTTTCCTTTATAATCACAACGGTTGTATTAATCTGTAGGTTTGGGACTTGTGGAGAGAAGGAAAAGCCTTGGAAATAATGGATTCAACACTTGGTGAATCTTATCCTCTTGATGTAGCCCTAAGGTGTATACAAATTGGGCTATTGTGTGTGCAAGAAAGTGCCTTCTATAGGCCATCCGTGTTGGAAGTCATTTTCATGCTTGGCAATGAAGTAACCCTTCCTTCACCTCGAAAACCTGCTTTCTTGTTCAATTCTAACGTAGAGCATTCAGAATCTTCAACATCTGGAGATCCTTCAATAAACAATGTCACAACTACTACAATCAGTGCTCGATGAACATGAATTGATAGATATAAAAGAAATATATCCTATTGGCTGTGTTGTGTTACCTAGATTGATTGTATTTGAGAAGAACAAATAATGAAAGTTTGTAATTAAAATGCAAAGCTATTGCCAATGCCAAAAACAGAGTCGAGAATCCTACTTGTTTGCTTTGGCGCATAAATTTTGTAAGTGTGTATGTATTGTAAAAAGTAACATAGTAGTGAGAAAATTATCATCTCACTACAATTTGTAATGGTCAAACGCATTGCATGTTCACATAAATCTAGCACGTCAAAATTGAAGTTTTTTAACCATTAACAATATGTAAATTGCTAACACAATTAAAGTTGTATCTTCTCTTCTATCTTCTTCTTTGGCATATCTACAACCTAATGTTTATCACATCTCACGAATCCAGATCAATAGCGTTGAAGAACTTGAACTTGAACTTAAGAAAAGTGTAATTCTCGCCATTAAAACCCAGAGGTTTTCTCCAAATAATTTCTGACCTAGCCATATGCAACTCTCAGATTGTTATTTTTTTTTTGTTTTATGTTTTGGAAGACAAAGTTTTGAGATAAATTGTCAGATAGTAAATTGGGTAATGCAAAAATTTTCACTTCAAGCGCACACACCCAAATGAGCTGAGAAATGTGTCTGGAACAAGGATGGATTCAATTCACATCACTTACATGCATTTTCCAATAACCTCTTGACAATCAAGAAACTCAATATTCTCACAAATCTTGAGTCAACTCAAATAAGATAAAAATAATGATCATCAGACAAAGATTTTCCTTATAGATGAGTTGATACAGACATTTTGAATTTCTAAGTATATATAGGTGAGAGTATATGACTGAAAGTTAAAACATTTGAAGAATTATAACAGTTTCGCAATGTTAAAACTCTTTTTTTTCTCAACATTATTGATGATTCTCTATTTCACAAACTGGATCAACCCTTGCTAAACCCAATGAATTGTTGAAAAGTACCTGCTCTGAAATGGGAATGGAACACAAAGCATAATAGACCACCGTGTTTGTTGACAAAGATGAAGGACAGTCAACAACTTTTTTGCATAAATGATTTTGTTGACAAATACAACAATTTGTCAATAATCCCTTGGAATAGAAACAAGTTGTTGATAACCCACGAGTTTGTTATTATACCGAATAGAACAAAACGCAACACGATTGTCCACAGAAATTGGAAATTGTCAAGAAATTTGGCAAAGCAATTAGTTGATAACATAGAGAAGATGTTGAAGATCAAGATAGATTTAAGATAATTTTAAGCAAATAGTAGCTAAATAAAAAGTGTACAAACAATTATAAAAATAGTTAAAACATCAAATGATAAAAAAAAAAGTGAGCTTAAATAGGCTAGTCCTTGACAACCTCAGGCTTAATAGAGTTAGGCCCTTGAAATCATGCTTTTTGAGAGCCCAACCCCACCAACAAGCTCGAATTTAAATGGACTCAGCTTTTTTTTTTCCAGCCACTTTCTTCTTGATCAATCTTGCTCCATTATTTATCTTTATATTCTTTTAATAATTAACTACACAAGTATTCATATTAATTCTAGTAGTTGGTCATACTTAAGCATGATATAAGATATATAATGTAATAATATTTGACATAATCAAAATTAATTATGTATGTTCTACCTCTTTTTCTTATGATGGAACCATGAGTATGATTGGAACTGCATATTTTGATTTAGAACTTGACATTGAAAAAATCGTAAGAGTATTAAAAATATAAACTGAGTAGTAAATGGTTCAGCACAATATTGTACATAATGTTGTAAATATTATTTCCTCTATTTTTTCAATAAAAGATTATTAATTCAACTATGTTGATTAAAAAGTTGGTTAAAATTAATTGGACAATAAAAATGCAAAATTTTTTTGTTAAAAAATATCCACTTATTTATAGGGAAGATGTAGGAAAGAGCGCAACTCTACCAAAAGAAAATAACTTTCAACAATAACATAAAGTTATCGCTCAAAGGTTGTTGGCACAACAATTGTGGCTAAAAAGTTTTAGCGGTAACAAAAATAACAACTTTCATAAGTTTTGGTGGTGACATTTATTGCTGTTGAAAGACAATTGTCGCCATTGAAAAGTTTATTTTTAGTTGTGACTTTCTAAAGTTGTCATTGAAAGACATTTTTAGCCCTCACTTGAAGTTTTATTTTTTGCAGCATAAGAGAGACAATTTACAATTTAAACAATTTACTTCGATGATGAATGCAATGATATTACTATGAGTGATTAAATAGGGCAAAATTGTAGAAATCTCTTAGTATCTCTTACAGATAAAAGCAAGTTATACTGAAAATTATTTCTTATAAAAAGTAACGGATGGAGTTATTAACTTGTAAAATTTCATTGAAGTTTTTTTTTGAACCATGACAAAATGATATTAAAAAGGAGAGTTTAAATATTGTAGACAGTCAAATAACTTATATTAGCTATATTAAAAGAAAGAAAACTACTTTTAGGAATTAAATCAATATAGTAAGAACAAAAGTTATAAATAAGAGAATGAACTTCTTGCCAAGTGATAGATGAGATGTGGGAAGACAGAGATGGAAAATGTAAGAAGTATTTATCAGCATAGTGGATGTGAAAAGGAGGCTTCAAGTGAAGGGTCATGACACTAGATGTAACATCCTGAGTTTTATCGGGTTTTAATAGCCTCTTTTGGTTGATTTTGAGGATAGATTTGTGATTTAACGTTGATCATGGTGTTTGGGTTGGAATTGAGGTATGTTGGAGGAATAGGTGAACAAACCCCTCTCAGGGTATGTTCGCCGCGGCGAACAGAGAGTTCCAGAGGGGGGTGTCTTTTCAGGAAGGTTTGGTCACGGCGAAGTCATAGAGACGCCGCGGCGAAGGTTTTCTGGGTGAAGGTTTTCTGGGCGAGCGAGAGTTTCCTCTCGGGAAGCTTTCGCCGCGGCGAAGTCAGGTTTTCAGGAGAGTAATCCCTCTTGGGATTAGTTCGCCGCGGCGAAGTTCTGGGTTCGCTACGGCGAAGGGGGTCGAATCTATATAGTCGCGGGAGGGGTCTGGTTCTGCGAAAATTAGAAAATCTAAAGGAAGAGAGAGAGGCTCTACTAGGGTTTCGGTGTTATGGCTTGGGAAAGGTGTTTCTAAGGATCCATTACCTCAAGTAAGTGATTTTAACCTCTAATCTACTTTCTTTCTTGGAATTTCTGAGGATTTATGGTGAAACCCTAGAGTTTTCTAGGTTGTTGTGGAATTGAGGTTTTTGACCGATTGTTTTGAGTTTAATTGATTGTTTTGAGTTAGTCTAAGTATTTAATCGGTGTAGTTTTCTTGGATTTGAAGAACTTTGAGTTTTTGAAATTAGAGTTTATGGAAATGGGAGGTTTGTGATTGAGGATGATAATGTGGAGATTGATTTTGAGTTTTGTGATTTGGGTTATGTTAAGGAGGGTTAAATTGGATGTTTAATCGGTTTAGAATGTTGTTAAGACTTCTATTGTTCAAATGTGATGTTTGGGTGTTGAATTCCTATAGTGGGTCCTTGAGGTGATGAGTTTTAATTGATGTTTAGAAAGGAATTAAGGTTTTAATGGATTTTTATAACCTTGGAATGTTGCCTTGGTGGTTATACCCTTTTGAGTTAGGTAGAGTTTGGTTGGAGTTAGGAATTTTGTGTCCCCAAATATTGTTTTGGCCACATTATTAGTTGAAAGCTAATACATGATGGTTGTGTGCTTGTGTAGACCGGTTGTAAGCCTTGTTGGTGCACGGGGTCGTGTTATTGGTTTGTTATTCCTTCCTTAGGCGAGAGGTAACTACTTTCCAATCCTTTTACATGCTTTTGTGGTATTGTGAGTGGATTTATGTTTTGTGCTCCGCGTAACAACTGTGTTCAAAGTGTATGTTGTATATTGAAAAGGAAAACCGTCTTGTGGGATTTAAATTGATATTGATTGAATCTGGAACTTGTGAAAGATAGGCCACTGAAAGAAGTTAATTGTGAAATGATCATTTACTCTTTGATTACGGTTTGAGCATGATGCATTAATTGGGAATTGGTGAGAATTTTGATTGTTACTACCATGTGGTAAGGCCTCCATTAATGCATGATGGTTGGCTCTTTACGTCCTCCATAGTGAGGGATAGGCCTTTTGGCTCCCTACGTCCCCCAGAGTGAGGGATAGGCCAGGTTCGGCTCTTGAAAATCCCCCAAAGTGAGGGATATGGTTAATGGGATTGCATCATTGCACTTGCATGACTTGTGTGGCTATCATTTATAATATTACTTGTGAACTGCCTCACTTGACACCTCACGAGCACCTATATAGTAGTACTTTGAATTGGAAAGGTTGGTTATTGGGACGTTTGTCTCACCCCGTGGTTTACAATGTTTTCAGGTGAAGATTCTAGGCGTATGCCATCGAGAAGAGACGCAGAGGCTTGAGCTTGGTTAGCTTTAGGCCTTTAGCCCTTGTATATGTATGGCTAGTATATATTGCCACATTTAGGATCCCTTTTGAAATATTTTGATTGCCCGGCCTTATTGTAAACTGGAGGGAATGTTATCTCCTTATTTTGGGTTGGCCGGAGGCCATTTCTAGTGTCTTGTGAAACTTTGTTTTGTTTTGTTGGAAACCATTTGGATGGGCTGTTGTTGATGTCTTTTGTTACCCGAGTCGGAGGCTCGGAGGCCCAATGGATGTTAATAAATGATTTCTAGTTGCATGCAACAGAGTTTGGGTTTGTCTCGAGTTTGAATGTTAATTTCAAAAATTGCGCAATTTCTTTCTACTATGGTAGTTTGTTGTAACAGCTTTCCTTTTCTACCATAGTAGTGATTTTATGACGAGTTTATAATGTTTTGAGGATAAGGGTTTTACACTAGAGTTGTTGATCCAATAGAGAGCAGCACGAAGACATTTTGAATGAAATTCAGTACCAGCTGTAGTCGTATTTCTCCAAAAAAAATTCTTTAATGCATTGACTAGAAGAACAAATCACTCCCTGGCAGTAAT